GCTGCGCAGCAGCAGCAAAGGGGAGGCGCCTAGAGATGCTGCTGCTCCCCTTGCTGCTGCTGCTGCTGCTTAGAATTTACTGCAGCAGCAACCACAATACTCATAACGAAGGCTCACTCTGTTGTGTAAGGTTTAGGGTTTAGGGTTTAGGGTTTAGGGTTTAGGGTTTACGGGGCTGCGACCGGGGGGGCAGCCCCACCGATGCGGCGTTCGGCGGGCCCCCCCAAAACCCTAAACCCTAAACCCTAAACCCTAAACCCTAATTCAAGGATGCAAGAGGTTGAGTTAATGAAGAGCTTTTCAGGTTGTGTAGAACTGCGTTGAGGCGGAGCGAAGCAGCAGCGTCCAAACCCTAAACCCTAAACCCTAAACCCTAAACCCTAAACCCTAAACCCTAGGTTTCTTGAATCGAAGCAGGGGCAATTCGAGCCTCTCTGTGGCTCTCGTGTTTTATATATTTAGGGTTTAGGGTTTAGGGTTTAGGGTTTAGGGTTTGAGCCCTTTATGGGAGTTGAGGGTTTGCTCAGTCCGTTCGAGCTAAACCCTAAACCCTAAACCCTAAACCCTAAACCCTAATTTCTTTGTATCTTCTGTTCTGTAGCTTATTTTTTTATCTCCTTTCTGCACGCCAGCGGGTCTAAACCCCTCTATACAAACCCTAAACCCTAAACCCTAAACCCTAAACCCTAAACCCTCAAGATGCCGCCAGCAAAGAAGAAAGATACAAAAAGCGAGAAGGGGCAGCAGAAAGCCCTAGAGAAAGAAAAACAAAAAATAATCGAAGACAAAACCTTCGGCCTCAAAAATAAAAACAAATCCAAAGCTGTACAAAAGTAGGGTTTAGGGTTTAGGGTTTAGGGTTTAGGGTTTAGGGTTTTGCGACACACACCCGCGGTGCTTTTGGAAGGGTTTCCTCGTCTGCGACACACAGGGCAGCAGAAGCAGCAGCAGCAGCAGCAGCAGCAACAGCAGCAGCAGCAGCAGCAACAGCAGCAGCAGCAGCAGCAGCAGCAGAATTTGTGTGTTTGCATAACAGCATTTTGTTGTATAAGGGTTTAGGGTTTATTAGGGTTTATGGGTGTGTGTGTGTCGATGACTCTATGTATTCTCTCTCCCCAGTATCCAGTATCTAGCATCCAGTATCTAGGGTTTAGGGTTTAGGGTTTAGGGTTTAGGGTTTAGGGTTTAGGGTTTGTGTGTAGGTTTATAAAGTCAGTGCAGCAGTCAGCCAAGGGCCCGCAGAAAGGGGGAGAGGCCCAGGAGATACTAAAAAAAAAACAAGAGCAGCAGGCGAAGAAGGCGATGATGCAGCAGCAGATGCTGCTGCAGGCTTTGTTCAAAGGTTAGGGTTTAGGGTTTAGGGTTTAGGGTTAGGGTTTGGGGTTAGGGTTTAGGGTTTGGGGTTTAGGGTTTAGGGTTTAGGGTTTGGGGGTGGACGGGCTGGGGTCTAGGTTTAGCTGCGGTTTAAGGATTTTGATTTGGGGTTCAATATATTAGGGTTTAGGGTTTAGGGTTTAGGGTTTTTGTATTGTTTAATACAATTGTTTTCTAGGGTTTAGGGTTTAGGGTTTAGGGTTTAGGGTTTGTGGTTTAGGGTTTAGTTGCAGAATATGGATATTTTGTTGCATACCCAGTAAAAGGGTTTAGCGTTTCCTTTTTTCGTAACCAAGG